GTTTGAACTTTTCCCACACACTGAGTCTGTGCAAGGTTACAGCCCACAAGCTGCGATTTTAAGATACACATTCAGTCTTAAAGAATTCCTGTTGAAAGGGGGCCAAGTAGCTTTTGTATTTGTTGCAAATTCACTTTTTCCCCTTGGACCTTGGTTACATAAATGTCCGTCTGGAGAATGCATTGTACAGTGAAAGGAAAGGAAATCAGCCTCACTCGCTCTCATAGCAAAGACACTCAGTTCTCTGCCAGCACTGTTAGATGGGAACTTTTAATATTTAATAAGTGTTTATGGCGAGTAACCTCCTGTAATGGTGTACAAAGGCCAAACCGAAACTTGAATGGCTCTCAGTTGGGGGGGTTGAGCTCAGTTTCATTGCACGGTGATTATGAACAGCGTTATTGCTGAATGCACCTCGAGCCCCATTTCACTGAATGAATGTAGGTATGAACCAGAATGGGATTGGACATAGCTGGACGTGTCCTAGACATAATGACTAGTTAATATGGGTTCTTCGAATGATATTACCGCTGAAACATTTCCTTGAATTCGTTGTCATTTATCAGTGCACATCATTAGTGCACGAACTGTAAATCATCTGACTTACGACCTTTGTTAATAATGAGTCATTGCCCAATTAAACGGCCTGATTCCGTGTGTATATTTTCCTGTCTGCAAGGCGATCCTCAGTTTGACTACAGCAGCCTTTGGCTTGTTGTTGGTTTTTCGCTTTCTTGCTACGCAGAGTCAGGGATCCCAAACTATTTGTGTTTTTTAATATTCTTTTACGATACGTATTGTGCAACAGGCCGTGTTTATGATGAGGAATTTGCCCTTCACGCAGCACAGAGTGTAAAGTGTGTTCACCAGTGAGAAACTGGGCAGGTTGGGCCGTACTCAAGTTGTGAGTACACGCTGTGGTGTTTAACTTTGACACATGATGCACGGCTTTCGGACCAGGTTGACACCAACAACAAACAAGAATTGATTTTAATATTAAATGACTCCAATATTTTAAAGTATATGACAGTCTTTACATCTGCACCTGACAGTCTTACTCATTTATGGTGGTGTTCACCCTTAAAGGGAGGCAGTCACGTGTACGTGTGTTTACGTTTCTGCTGTTTCAATCTCAACATAACTTAAACCATCCATGATCACTGGAGATGATACGGTATCAAACACCTGCAAACATGAAAAGCCCATAGTTAAGTCACAATTTTTTATTTAGTATTTGGGTAACACAGCTGTGAAAAAGACTGCTAGCAAATGATGCTCGCTTGATTAAAGTAAATTTAATAAAGTCACTTTATTTAATCCACTTCTATGCAGACTCTTGGAGCAGGGTGTATTGATTTATACATTCATAACATCACTGATATTTAGTATTACATGGATATCATTATAAGAGAGTTGAAGCTGAAGTTTAATCAATGTAGAGTAGCCTTTTTTACTTTAAGTGGGAATGTTTGAGCCAAGTCCAAGCATGAATGGATCAAAAAGCATAAGAATGCCTGTATTAATCTTTCATTTTCTATGGTTGTGTTACGTCAGATGATGAATGAATGTTCTCAGGGCTTCCTGTCATGGTGATGTCACAGTTTTGTCAGCTTTAATCCCCATTACGTTGAGTTAAGATGATAGTAAATAGAGAGTCATCATGTGGAAAAAGCTGGTGTTGATGGTGTTGCAGCCCGCTCAGAATGGTTGACCTTACACATCGCTGCAAATGCTGCTGGTTGGATTCTGCGTTTTGACAGGATGGAGGCTCAACCCGTCCTGCATTAAATGCAAAAGTTTGCCGAACAACTGGATTGCCAACAGCGCTTCTAGAATGACCACACAGAATTAATAGACCACAAAGGAAATTAAATCCCTCATCGCAGCAATTTCCACACACCGTTTTAATTTAATGGTGAGATCTACATTTTCTGTGTTTGATGGGTTTTCTTTGTGTCATTTTTATGAATGTGGAGTTGGTGTATGTCGACAGTGGTGGAAATGGTTCCAGGCAACCTCGGGAAATAATGAAAGCTGCCCAGTTTGAACGAGTGGCTTTTGTCCTGGGAACCAGTTTGCTGCAGGGCCTTTTGATGTAAAAGCCTTCTCCACTACATTTCCTTTCTCTTAGTGAGATACCTCGGAAATGAGGCACATCTACATGACTTAAGAACTGTTGAATTAAATCGGTCTCTCCTTCTCATTTCCATCCTGTATTCAGGAAATTGCTCCTGAGATCAAACCTGTGTGACCTGTAAAAGATTTGGAAGCAATTGATTTGCCAGAGTGGGAGAGCAAGTGGCTCTGAGCTATATGCCTTTTGGGAAGAAAAGGCTTTGTCAGTCTGTTGTGCGGGAAGGCAACAAGTATTGATTTGAAAACCCTCATTACGCTCTTACTTGGTGATATTTAATCCTACCCGTAGAAGAAGATAATTGTCACCTCACAAATGCCCTTTCCTACAGGATTTAAGAATCATTCTTGGACAGCACAGGAAACTGACCTCTGATATTCTCAGTTTCTTTGCCTTACAAGCTTCGCGATTCTGTGGCTTTCGTAATAATTTTCTAAGAAATAGACTTATAAACACTGATTGAAAAAAAACAAATGTTACCATGAAGAGTTTCAACCTCCTCCATCTTCATATCTGGCAGTTATTTTTATGGGAGGAACACTGCAGAGGAAGAGCTAATAAAAGAAGGGCTTGTAGTTTGTACTCCATCGGGAAGCAAGACAAAGGATCGGTATACGCAGCGCCGGCGTGTGCTGCTGGGAATGGAAGCTACTCACAGTCCCATCAGCTTTTGTCGAATGATTTACAGAGGTAGTGAATCAGTGAAGATTTATGAGCTGTCTGGTTTGCGGTCATTGGTCGTACTGAGCGATAGCTCCTAAGAGGAATCAGGGTGGAAGGTGTTTGAGTTATGGTGGTGTGATAACGCCTGAGTGAGAATCATATTGATTTGCCTTCATAAAGGTTCAAATAAATACCGAGGTGTCTGTAATGCTCACTCTTCTAAACTGTGTTTTTTTTTCTTGTTAAGGGGTCGGCAACCCTTTTTTTTTCACCTCAAAATTCAGTGTGCCAAATCAGCATTTAACTTTAACTGTCACAACATCATCATTTAAATCTATCTCGTATCTGACTAAATGCATTCACGGGAAAAAAAATGTTGTTAATAGATGGAAGCAAAAATCAAACTAACAAATCAATTTTAGGCACCGACTGGTTTTTCTGGGGTGCCGCTGAGTGGGCCTGTCAGTCACACTGTTTGCCCTGGAGGTCTGCCACCCTCATAACAAACAACCCTATGCTAAAACAGCCATGTACAGTGTAACAAATAAACGGTATGTTGACATCTTTTGTTTACTCTGATTACTCAACTACCTTTCTGCATTTATACAAAAGATAAGTAAGTATAAGTATTTTATAAGTAAGTAAGTAATAAGTATTTTATCATGCGTTACATTCTCATAGGCTTCATGATAGTGTTTCCAGCAGGCCTTTCATGCTAAATATTGACTTCTCTGCAGCCTTCTGAAAACCCCTCTGATTATGTACGCAGAATGCCAAATGCTAAAAACACGCCTCCTTGGGTAGAAAGGTGTCTGCAAGTAAACAAGCAGAGCTGTGGGCATATTTGTAAGGAGCAGTATAGCAACGAGCAACATTAATGAAGATGGTTTCAGTGTTATTCACCAGTAGTTTCAACCTGATGAGCAGAGGCTCCGTATTACATTACATTACATGTCACTTAGCTGACGCTTTCATCCAAAGCGACTTACGATAGGAGCATTTCAACCATAAGGATACAAACCCAAGAAACATCAAATAAGCTGATTTACAGCTCGCTATACATAAAAGCCATTATAAGTACAATCTAAGTGCTATGATTTGTTAGTCTTTTTAGTGGAGGTAGAGTCTGAAGAGGTGTGTCTTTAGTTTGCGGCGGAAGATGTGAAGGCTCTCTGATGTCATCAGAGAGCTCGTTCCACCATTTCGGAGCAAAGAGTCGTGATCTCGTCGAGTGTTTTGCTCTCAGTATGTAATATAACACACAGTATCAGATATGCATTAACCTGTATGTGCAGACTTGTAAGCTAAATGCAAAATGTGTGGCCCCAGACTCAACTACTCTTTTGTGAGAATGTGCATTTGCAAAAAGAAAGAAATGATTCTCTTTGGAATGACTTCTACTGCTCAATAATGTGTCACATCAACACAATTTATGAATCTTAATAGCTGCACTGTCATTATCACTCAGTTTTAGGTTTGCTTGTCTAAATGATAAGCTAGACGGAAGGAGGACAGACACATAAATGAGTATGTAACCGGAAGAGATACATAATGCATGAAAGTATTAGTTTGATTATTGCAGATGATACCATTGACAATCACAGATGGTGTTTGATTCCGGTAGAACTTCACTGATGCAACACAAACAACTAATGGAGTGCTCTCATTTCATACCCCCCCCCCAACCGTCTTGGGGAGAAAGGGAGCGGCGCCCTGGTCCATGGAAAGAGAAGAGGTGCAGACGTAACACTCATTTAGACCAATCTCTGTTGAACAGCAACAATATGGCAGTTTTTTTTAACGCACACTGGCCATCTTTCACAATCAACCCTGTGTGTTGTGTGTGCCCACGGGTGGAGGATGTGTCCGCGTGTGCATGTGGCGTGTGCGCTGTCTGCCTCAGCTCCTGTCGTGTCGGGGAGGAGGTGGCGGCGTTGGGCTTTGCAATAAGAGCAGTCGGCCCGCGGGCAGCAGTGGCCATCTGGACACATGGTGAGGAGCCTGGCCCAGACGTCAGTGGCTGTTCGAGCCCTCTCGGTGTTATCAGATCTCCTTCTCTTTCTGCTGTCTGGTTACATATCAGTCAACAATGATGCCCTGTTTTCTAATATTCTCTTCTTTTTGTTGCCTTCTGTCTGTGTATTTATATTTTCATCTCTCTTTCCCTCATAACGACTTTGTCTCATCTTTTGTCCCCCTGCAGTTTGCTGTTTTGTGGTCCACAAGAGGTGCCATGAATTAGTCACATTCTGCTGCCCAGGGGCAGATAAGGGGCCCGACACGGACGTAAGTAACCAAAGCCCAGCTGTTGCCTGTCGCCTGTCACCTGATTGTTGGCGACGGGGTTTCTGTCATTAACTCAGGTGAATGCCAAGGTGTCAACTAGGCCGGACCCTTTCTCATCACGCTCCCTGTTGCGTTCTTTTGTTTTCTCACTGCCCCCCCCCTCTGTCATCTAGTGATGTTGATGTTAAATATTGATCAAATAAAATTGATTCACAGAAAAAAAGAGAACATTTCATCATCAATGAAAGCGAACATCGTTGTTTCGATAGATCGAGAAAGAAGAGCTTCAGTGGTTTCCCCTGGCTGCACTTACGATTGAATCACAGCAGCAGCAGGTGGCTGATTTAATTCACCCAATGTTAATGTTGCAGGCGAGTCACTGTGATTTAAATATTACACTTAGTGAGTCACCGTTCTCAAACGCTTAAACTTTAGAATATTTTCTACCTGTGATGCTCCCATCACGGTCGATATTCTTTCCTACATCTGGACCACAAAAACAGGTTTTGCGTAACATACTGTCAGGGAGTGTAATTCTTGATGATCAGATTAGTGTACCGTTAACAATGACCTGCCATGTCCCAGAGACAGATGGGAAATTTAGCTTCAGCTGGCTGCTGAAGGCAATACCTCTCCATCGGTCTTAGCCGAGGCATATAGGTAGAGCTAATTACACCCAAAGAGTAATGGATAGAAAACAAAGAGGACGACGGCATTGAGCAGGGGTGATTTTCCTACGACCAAACTACTGATCAATGAGGGTTTAACTTATCCAGTAGCTTTTAATGTCCGCCCCGACATGCTCCGTGCTATCAGCCCCTGCTTACCTGCTCACTAGTGTGTGAGCCTCACCGAGTTGCACAGTCTGTAACTGGAGATATGTCAGTGTGTCATTCAAGATCATCAACTCACTCCTTAAATAGAGGATGACACAGAAGCTGGGACAGCAGAAAATAGTCTGAGCTCGGGGAGTCTCCATTTGAGCGAGTACCGGGGTTCAGATTAGTGAGGGTCTGTCATGACCTCTGACATCTGTGCTTTCCCGTGTTTACCAAGTAATGTGTTGCAAAGAACATAGAAGTGCGTCTTTGTTCGTTCATGTACAAGATGCTTCTATTTTTTTCCTAGTTAAATACACATACATTAAAAGGTTGTTTTTCTCCCGAATTGAGATCATTTTCTTTGTTGTTGTTCTGTCAACAGCCACATATCAGTTTACTTTCAGACCAAATGCCACAATTGCACTTCCTAACAGAAACAAAGCACAACGTAGTCTTTAACTTTAACATGTGCTGTGTGTCAATGTGAACAATCTGTTATAGTACGTATTATTTGGTACTAGAAGAGAACCAATGAAATCCAATCCGACTAGTGCAAACTTCTCTTAGCGCCCGTGAGGCTTAAATTATTCTACGCCTTTTGTTCATGGAGGCACTCTGGGTGGTTGTGTGCCTCTGAAACTTTTCACGTGACCATATCAGAAATCAGGAAACATTTATTGCCAAAATATGTCAAACATACAAGGAATTTGTCTTGGCGGTTGGTGCGTGATAGTAGACAGTGTAACAATAGACAACAAGACAGCAGTGCACAAGTAATAAAATAAAATGAAATGCTAATGCAATGGGTTAGTAGAATAAGGCTATGGGTTAGTATAAAATAAGATATAGCAAACACAAACAACATCTTTTGAATAAATATGTATCTTATCTCTCGCCGTGTTAGAATATGTGAAGCTCACTTCTTGATATACATTCTCAGCCCTGTTGCCAGGGGCAACCACACATATTACATGGCTTGCTGCCTCCCGGGCGAGCGATCCAGGAAGACAATAACTCCCATGGCCAGCAAATATTCTGAAGATCTGCAGTATCTAGGCTACCTGCATTTCATGACTCATTTCTGTGTTTTGTAACTCTCCTGCCGTAACAAACAAAGTGTGCACAAAGATGCCTACAAGAACCCCCAACTCTTTTCGACAGCGAGCTCGCCTTGAGCAGCTAGCCTTCGTTTGACGGCATGAGATCACAAATATATTGCTCTTCTGGGCTTTGTTTCAAGGGCAGGGCATATAAACACACATGTGCAAATAGCTCTGCATAGTCGGTCCAGTAGTTTGACACAGAGCACAGCCAGTGGTGCGTTAAGAGACTCAGTTTGATCTTTCGTCAGAGAACTAAGACTTTGTCCATCTCCCGGTTTTGCAGGCAGTGGAGCGGATGTCTGTAGTGGTAGATCACTGATAGCCTTACTAATATTCCATTATTGTTGGTAGAAAAGGGGCATATGAAATTAAAGTGTGCAGAATTATATTAATACAACTAGCCATCTGCTCTGTCTTTGTATTTGAGGCATGTGAAGCACATGTAAAAAAAAACCCGACAGAGTAGTGGGATAGAAGATGTCATTGCAGAAACTGCTTTACTGTTTGTTATCAAGTTGCACACAAAATTATGTTGATCCGTGTAACCCCTGCAATCAAAGTGATAATGCGTAGTTATCTGTAACGGCATAACTTGTAAGCACATTCCATGCGCAAGTCACTTAGTCTGATTAAAGCACTTACTCTAACAAATTGTTTTCGCTCGACTGCCAGGTGTAAAGTTACCTACAGGTCAAGAAAATTCAGAGCTTTACAGCGCAAGACCATCAATGATGCAGGAGCTCTCCGTTCACTACAGGTGCTCGGCAGATGAAACTAAGAGCTTGCTTTTGTGTGGGTGTGTGGCTGATGCATCATTGATGTCTACTTAACCAGTGCAGAACATATGACCCGAGGCAATCGGCAAATCTTTCTGCACTGATTTCCCCTCTGATCTCACACACACACACACACACACACACACACACACACACACACACACACACACACACACACATACATATATAGTCAACAAACTTATCTGAGGCTAACATGGCAACCTGGTAGAGCTCAAACAGTAGGTCGTATGTACAGACACCCCAAGAATACACTAATTCTTCCAAACATTTTGGAGTAAAAGAGTATCAAAAAGCCTAAATCACTCAGTTGATAGGTCGCTTTCAGAAGGAGATGCATTCAGAAAGGCCTCCCATACAGCCGTGCAGCGACACGTGCCACCCGTTACCCGATCCGACCACCCTGCTCGACCAGTACTGCACATGTGCAACTCTAAACACGAGATGAGAAAGAAGAGCGATGGCTCACCTGTTGCTACTTCCAACATCAAGGATCTCTAGATATAAGCAGGCCTTCAGGTAATCTGAGCGAGATCTAATTTGTATTAGTTGTGAGTAATGGGCAATGCATCAGCATTAATTCAAATGTCATATCACAGATATAGTTTTGGCAGACTCCAGCTGGTCTGGGAGAAGTAGGTGTTCTGGGGACAAGGCCTGGGACGCACACTGTCTCATTACAAGGGCTCTCTGTGGAAATTGAAAACGAGATTAAGATGGAGTGGGGCTGAATTACATCATCTCTGCCACAGGCATCTTGGGTTGTCAAAGGCAATGAGCCCTCACATTTGTGTTTTTAGTCCATTTCCTTCAAGAGAAGGTGTTGGCCATTTCTATTAAACTGGCCTGTTCTGGCCCAGAAGTGGTCTATAACACCATGTCATGGTTGCATCATGCGGCCAAATGTGTGAGTGCAAAGAAGTGTAAAAGAAACCTTTTCAGAAATGTTTACCTCTTTTTTTCCCTCTTTATATCTGCCCATATATGTATTTTTTAGCTTGACCCCCTCAAATGAAGCAATACCTGTGCAGACAATCTTTTGCAAACTGCTGCAGACGTCAAAAACAGAAAAAAAGGATCCAGACATTTTTTTTAATACATAAAACAAAATTAAAGCACATTTTGCAATGACAGAAATTCACATATCCAAGTATTTTCACCTAAGTGTCCCCATAAGTCAGCCCCTCCGCCCGAACCCGTGCACATGCTTTTAGCACACGCCCCTCTGGAAGAGTTGCTTCCAAGCAAACGTGGTCACAAGGAAACCCGATGCCACATGAGTCTGCTTAGAGCACTGATTTTATTTTGGTGTGCGAGTGGTGACATATCGTGCAAAGCCCTGCCAGGGTGCACAGTTTCCCCTAAATGAGATCGTAAAATTGCACTGTGAAAAGTGCCGGATAGGCTTATCTCACTGCCTGGAAGCTGTAGCTGCAGAGCGGACACACGAGAGGAGACACACACACACACACACACACAGCTACTCACTTCCTTCAACAGGGAATAAACAAACATCCTCTACTCTTATAGTGAGTGTCTTTCTCCAAGCTGTGTTCTTTTAGTGTCTAACGCTTGAGCAAGCTAGAAGGACAAAGTCTTTCAAGTTAAAAAATGTGAACCATAACTTTCATTACAATCAGTGCGGATGCGGATGGACGGGAGAGCGAAGGAGAAGTGCAGGGTTGAGGAAGAAGGAGGAAGTGGGAGTGGAGGGAAATGAAAAGGAGATGTGTTTTCCAGATAAAAAAGCAGTTGGGACAACATGAAGCACTGCGTGAATGTCAAAAGGCCCGTTGACTGTAACACACCCTGAAAGGCTCAAGGGTTCTTTAGGCTACAATATGCGATCGCTAATATATAACAACCATTTTCCCAGAGTTCGGCTTTTCATGTGCGCCGAGACAAAAGCCTGTGCACAGATATGTTAAAGTAATAGCACAGATTGATGTTTGTGGCATACACTTAAAGTTTAATTAAAATGCAGACAAAAATAGATGTTATGTCAAGTTCCCATGCTCTTTGACCCACAGACATTAGAAAGTGATTCCATAAACAGTTAATAAATTGTCTGTGAAGTGTTTATAGAGTCAGACTATGGATCTTTAGAGGTTTCTTGAACTCCCCCCAGAGATTAAAATTCAACATTGGTTCATTGCTCTTGTGACATAGCTGTAGCTATACAACAATATGAGTATGTATGTATATATATATGACCTATTTTTATTTCAAACAAAAATTGCTCTAACTTTTGATTGGTCGATCAAAGTAAAGTCGTTATTGTA